TACATACATACATATGTACATGAACGTACTTATGTATGTATGAAAATATTAAAAGCTTTCAGTATCGCTAAAGGCTACAAAGCAAAGCAAAGCAAATTGGTAGTCAGCCGATCAGAAAATAAAATAATAAAAAAAAGTGAAAATAAATAAACAAAACTTGTATGAAGCGGCTTATCAGTGGCAGTTGCCGTATCCCCGACCATCAACTCCCCCTTTAGCAGACGTAATCAATGTTGAAGCTTTGAATGTCGGAAGGGACAGTCACAGCAAGCAGGCCAGCTGTGAAGTAAATATTTACATATGTATGTATATATGTACTATCAAAATCGTATAAAATCCGAAAAGTGGTTAATACGTACATACATACATACATACATATACATTTTCAGAAGGTAGAATGGCTTAGTTAAAGCAAGGGTGAAGCACCGACTTTAAAATACGGACGCGAGGCGCCGCATACAATCACGTTGAAGGCCCGTCCACATACAACTTGGCGCTGGCGTCGTCAAAATTGTATATCAATAATTGCATTAAAAACTATATTCTTTCTAAATCACATAATTTTGATTATTGGAACAGCTGACGAACGACGCGCGTGAAAAATTGAGAGTTGGCCATCTTTCTGCGTTGTGTTGTGTGCGTTGGCGTTTCCCAATTTTGGTTATGTGGAGATTTTCATATAAATGCATGTATTCATAGTCAGCTGTCGAAGCGACGCCAATGCCAACGTAACGCCAAAGTTGTATGTAAACGGGCCTTTAGCGAATTGATTGCCGCTACATACATACATACATTCATATGAACAATTTTAAGTGGCGAAGAGGTGTCCCTACGGGAAACGTATCTAACTATAAGCTAACTTTAAGTTGATTAGGCAGGAGCAAAAGGCCACTATTATTTGTATATTTGTATGGCGACGGCCGCGAAATAGTCAATCTCTGCATTTGATGTAACTAACTTGTAACTAACTACTTTTGGACATAAAATATTAATAGAAAAAAAAAACAAAATATTTTGTTACTTTTTTATTTTTTTATTTATTTACTTTATTTTATTACATTTTATATATGTTTACATATTCTGCTGTAGGTGGTCCCATATTCGAACTCCGTCAGACATAACTTCAAAATGATAATATAAAATTTCGATCTTCCTTTTATTTGTCCTCAATTCCAAAAAGTATTTGTGAAGTGCAGGATATTTAAATAGAAACGCGTTTAAAGAAAACAATCTCCCGATTGCGTCTGCATTACTCCTGCATTACTTATCAATTAGTTTCAAGTTAGCTTTATGTAGCTAACTACAAGTTATATATTTTATAGAAATACCGTAAAAAAGCTAACTACAATTGGGTTATTTTTTATCAATTTTTTCACTTATAATTTTTTTCTGCGGGGGTATAAAAGGCTGCGCAAGCAAACAAATTAAACAGTCGCTCAACAAATTTTGATAAGCTGGCTAGTAGGCTGCCAGCCTGTGCCCCTACATACATACATACATATGTACATGGAAACGTGCACAGACACACGTCAGGCTGAGCAATTGAGCGAATGTAAGCCTAGCAATAATTAAATTGATAAGTCATAATTTAATTTTTTTTATTTTATACAAACATACATTTGTGCATATACGTAATATATATATGTATGTATATTGCGATTGCGATTGCCGTTTGCTTAATGATAAGCCGGTATAAGCTGTGCCATACATTTGCTTACTTTAAAAGTAATTCGAAAATACAAATGTCTGTAAGAATGTACGTCTATATCGCATATGTACATATGTATGTATGTACATTTTAACTTGAAGTGTATTTTTCATATTTATATAGTGATATATGTCCTCTCATTTAACAGCACGTTTTCTTTTTATTTTTGTTTGTTTTTTTTTTCGCCAAAAAAAAAACTGGCAATAGAGTAGTAGACGAAAACAGGTAATTTTTGAGCAAAAACGCTCATAACAACATACAGTATCGGTCATATCTATAGCACGCCATTTCAAAGTGATACTGTGTGCCACTTATGTTTATTTATTTATTTTTAAGAATTTTCAATTAAAATATAGTTCTTTCTCTAACAAAACCCATATAAACCCAAGTTTAACAATTTGTAGAATACTACAAAAAAGTGCAACAAATTTTCATATAAATTTCAAACTTTTTTCTCGGAAGTG